GGATTCTCGCACGAGTGGAAAATCGGCTCAAAAAAGTGAAAAAGTCGCACAGTATACACCCGGCTTCATACACAGACTTGGGTGTGGTGTGTTGGACGGTGGGCGGGATCGTGAACTGTGATGACAATATAAACTTGGGAATAAGAAGGACAGTTTACTACAAGAACCTTTGGCTTGATAAACACGACACAAAGATGTCAAAAGGCTACACTGCTGCCGAGGCTTTGGCTCTGCTGCAAAATATGGGTTCTTGTGATTCAGATGGGGGGTGGGGGGTGGGGGGGGATTCATTCTCTTGCAAGAGAGTTCTGACTTGTCTTCAGATGATGAGTTGTGTTAGTCTGGCAAGCCAGACTAAATAAATGTATTATTTAGTCTGGCAATGCTCCATTGATGGCTCTCGGTTGTGGGGCGGGTTCTACCATTGTCTTTCAAATGATCTCTGCATGCTACTGGACAATGAATGTGACATACTCTTGTTTCACTCTGTTGCATCATCCCACCCACCAGGCATATAAAGTGCCCTGATTGGCCCACAAAGCGGATAAAGCTCTGTGATTTGTTCACTATGCAGATAGAGCACTATTATTGGCCCACCATTATGGACCAATCACAGCTCTTTATGTGTTTGAAACCCCTCTAGAGAGCTGTGATTGGCCAGCCAGAATGCTGTTGGGGCTGCAGAGGTTCCAGTGGAGCGTTCCTAGACCAAACTTTGCAAAGCAAGAATTTGGTCTAGTTCACTAGGCTAGAGTTGTGTTCCACATCAGAGAGCAGAACTCCTCCAAAGAAGAAAGGTCGACTGGAGACACAGACAGGCAACATTTTGGAACTTGAAATGTTTGAATCTTTGAATGAATTGTCACTACACCACCGATTCACATGTAATTGCCACATTTACAGAACAAACGCAACCATCCACAAGTGATTAAGGATCCTGGATAACAACAACCCAGTCAAATGACAACTCCCTGGTAGAGATGGGGGATCCCGTCAAATGACAAGTCTCTGGGAGTTCTAGTGCTAGAGGCCATCTGATTACGCACAAGCTGCAGGTGACCAGTTCAGGTTTACGCGGAGCAGAAGGAATGTGCGTTCGGGCCGCAGCAGGTGCAACGTCCCTAGTTTAAGTGAAATCATTGAATTGCATTGTTTATGTTATTGGGCCACTCTGATCAACTTATTTGGACTAAATATTGATTAAAATGAATGGAAATGTAAAGGTAATGAATGATTATGTATTGTTGCGACCTCAGAGTGCGTCCAAATACAGCAACAATTCAATTTCATTTCCTACCCATTGATGAAAGAAACCTAGTAGCCTTTGTTCAGAAGAAAAACATTCTGCTTAAATAAAATCCCACAACAGCGGCCACCACAGGGTAACAAAGACGAGGCTTCTTCTTAACACTTTAACCGCATTTAATACGAGCCATTTACATGTCACTCTAACAAATACAACATCAAACAAGAAGAAAAATCTAATTTCTCTTCCAGCAAACATTTGCACTAATTAGGATGTGTGGTGTGTTGTTGAACGCTGAACTTAAGTCAACAAAGAACCGCACACACAGCTCTCTGGGCTTTGGGTGGAGTTGAGGCTGTTATGGGGGGATGATGGTATGCAACCTAAAGAATAAAGAAACCAGACAGCCTGGTGTAGGTTGATGCATAACTCCACAGACAACAGCCTGTACATCTGCACCTACTTAGCAAGACGTTCGTAACACAAAACAATCAAAGTGCAGCTTGTTTGCAAATGTGTCTCTGAATTTCTAAATAATGGCTCAAAGGCAGCATATCTGACAGCAGAAACTCTAAATTATAGGTTTTTGCTGCCAGACAAGTTTAAACCTTCAAACCAAAAGTTAAAACCTGTCCTTGAATTTTTGAAAGAAACAAGTTTCTTCTATAGAGAAACTGAACAAGCAGGCCGAGTTGTTGTCCAGATAAACTCAGCAGACTTTTGAGTTTTCTAACTGGGAGAAAGAAGCTCCTTCTAAAGTAAGAGCTATATGAGCTATCTAAAGCAAACAAGCTTGAGTGTTTCACTTCAAACTTCTTCAGAATTAGAGGCTACAAGAAAGAAGTCGTGTTTGACCTCATATATAGCTTTATCTCCATGCTAGCCGTCAGCACAGTGGTGGAGGGTTAATGCAGCTTTACCAATTCAGCAATACAAACTAGCTTTTAAACACAAACACAGCCTCACAACTGCTCACATCTGTGGTGTGTTGCAAAATGCACGAGTGCGTAATGAGTGCAGGGCCCTGGTAAATGTGGAACTGCAAAGGTTCAGTGAGACGGACAACCAAATGGACCAATTGTTGGTTGGTTCAGGACTGTTATTGGCTGAGGTTTTTAGAACCACTTAAAGTTAATTTGCTCTAATTAATCAAACTTTAAGGAAGAGAAGAATAAAGACTCTCAAAGTCCAAAAGGATCCGATCAAAGGGATAAGTTCTTACATTCATCTACAACCCAATTGTCATGTCCAAACCCTAACCCACTACACAAACCAGTGCTGCAAATGAAAATGACCTGCACTTGGTCAGAGGACTCCAAAGCACTTTACACTACACTGGTGTTGATGAGCTACATCCTAGCCTCAGCCCTGGGGCCCACTGACGGAAATCATGGTCCACCGGACCAGCAGCAGGCGGGAGGGTGAAGTGTCACACATGGAGCCTGGGTTCAAACCAGCAACCCACCAATACCTCAGCTGGTAATCCCTTGAACCTGGACCTAATAGGAACTGTTGAGTATTTCTGCTTCACAAAAACAGACAATCACAACACAGCTGTGGCTGGAATTAACTTCTGCAGTGAGGCATTATTTATCATTCCAGCAGGTTTTATTAGTGGTTCTGTACCGTTTGGAGTGAAGTACCAATGAAACTGCCCACACTGCTACAGAAAATTGGTTACTGGCCCTTTTCCCAGAACCACAAAGGTTTAGAGATGCTCATAATTATTAACACACTTGTAACCAGCTCGTATCACTCCCATTTTCAAATCTTGGCCTCTGTCTTTTTCCTCTCCGACAAAAAAAGCTGATTAGACCTAGGAGTGGCTCTGGAGGTGCCTGAGGTTGTCCACCTTATGTCTAAAACAACCAAAGACTCAGTTAACAGGAAAAATTCAGGTGAAGTTTGGGAATCCCTCTATCTTAACAGTTAGTATTTTCAGGTTTATTTAGTTCTAGTGATAGAACGATATACTTTTTTAGTAGAGCCCATGTAAAGGTGGACACATCTGCAGGCAGCCTAGTCCAGCTGCCGAATTTGATTAAAAAATTTACACTGATATAGTAGGTACCGGATCTGTGCAGGATGCCAGATCTGCTTGGGGGCCTGCGCTTGCTGATGACATCACACCATAGGATTGAATATTCTTCAATCATATGGTTTATAGCTAACAAGTCAGAGTTATTAATAATACAGCTTGTCCAGAACAAGACTGCTCATTTGGTCCTAGGATGTTCTTATGCTACTAGTGTTGCTAAAATGCATCACATGTTATCATGGCCTCTAATAATGGCTAAATTGTAGTACAATTCATTCCTTCCTTCCTTCCATCCATCCATCCATCCATCCATCCATCCATCCATCCATCCATCCATTTTCTTTCGCTTATTTGGATTCAGGTCGCAGGGTCAGCAGCCTAAGTCGAGAGGCCCAGACTTCCCTCTCCCCAACGACTTGGGCCAGCTCTTCTGGGGGAATCCCAAAGCGTTCCCTGGCCAGGTGAGGTCAAACATGTCCTGGGTCCCCCTTTAGGTCTCCTCCCGGTTGGACGTGCCCGGAAAACCTCAGGCGTCCAGGAGGCATCCTAATCAGGTGCCCAAACCACCTCAACTAGCTCATCTTGATATGGAGGAGAAGCTCCTCTCGTTGCGGAGGAGCAGCTAATCTTCTACGAGCCCCTCGTGGATGATCGAACTTCTCACCCTACCCTATCGTAAATATCGGCCCAGTTTTTTTTATCGGACTGATACTGCTATGTTAAAAAATGACTAACATCGGCCGATACCAATATTGATGCCGATGTATTGTGTGTATCCCTAATTTTTTTAAGTTTATTTACTCTGACCAAATACACATCCACTATACTATGAATGCATGTGATACTAACTTAATGGCAAAACAGGCCAACATAAATGTCTTGCAATTTCTTTCTTCTGCCATCTATAGAGCATCTGTGGCCTGGAATATGTACCCCCAAAATATTAGAGAATTAAAGGGCATGCATTCTTTTAAAAATCATTAAAATTTTATTATAGCATTGGTTCCACCTAAATTCAATTCAATTCTAGTTTATTTATATAGCGCCAAATCACGACAAATCAAATCAAATCAAATCAAAACTTTACTTATATAGCACAATTCATACAATAAATGCAACTACACCACCCACAACCACCTCAAACTTAGCCATTGAAACTGCTTTCCCTAGGCTCATGAAAGGCCACCAATCAGACAGTAATTGTATATGTAGAATATTCGTATTGTAGTTTGCATCGTCCATTTACGGTAAAAAAGTGGGTGTGTAGGAGACTCCTTTCTAGAACAGGTGTGATTTCTAACTGCTGCAGCTGTGTGTCGGCAGACTTTAGGGGTGGAACGATTCGTTTGTGGGAAAACAGTAGGCCCCATGTAAGAGACCTGTCAAACTCACACATTTTAGTGGTATGTGGTTCTGCTTTACAGAGTTTAACCAACATCACCTTCTCAGCAAACTGAGCTGTGCCCGTTATCAGACGGCACAGCTGGTCCTGATTCAATGGTGACTAAACAGACAACTCAGAGGCTCTGATCAGTAATTATCTGGGTTCTGGTCCACAGCCAGCTGAGAGGAAAGCACAGGTCCAGGCCTCATTAGGAACTGAGACCACAGACATTCCTCCAGACAAAACCCACACACACACACTAGTCGTCTAGTCTCTCTGCAGCTTGTCCTATTTAACATCCAGATCCAGGCTGCGTGGTGGACTCTGGCTTTAGTGTGCTTGCTGCTGCTGCTGTAGCTGGGGCTGGGCAGGAAAGGGTTAAGTGCTGCGCTCTATAAAAGCTGCTTTAGGAGTTTAAACCCATAGTCACTAGACTTGCCCAGGCAGGAGGTAGGAGTAGAAGCACGGCTGCTGACCTGAACCAGGTTTTAAGGCTCAGCGAGGTCAGCATCACACAGTTCTGGACAGCATGAGGTGCCTCCTGTTTACCTGCATGCTGCTTCTGTGGCTGGCAGCCGCCTCGGCCAGTGGGTCTGATCCCGATCCCCAGCTGAGACAAAGATCCACATCTGGCAGGCAGATGGACGGATACCTCAGCAGGGTTTTAGAACTACGAAGAGAAAAGGTGAGACTGTTCGCGTCACTTCTCTCCATTAGAAATATTCTCAAAAACTGTTGGAAACTGGGATTTATTTATCTGATTAAGCTGGCAGTTATGGTGAGTGTTTTGTTGTCATGTGGTGGTCACACCAAGTCTGATTCAGTGAAGCAAATCTGCAACAAAGTGCATGAATTTAAATCAAAATGAGAATATTATTTTCCTGTTAATTCCTCTCTGGAGGGTTGAGAAGGTGCTCATAGTTCCTAGAAGGTGCAGACAAAACTGGACATTTTGCCTCTCATCTAAGGAGCTTCAGCGCTCCGAGCTCCATTTCAAAGCTCCTCACAAACCAAGAAAAGGTACCTTTGATTAGCCTCCAAACAGGAATAACAGTGTATGGGGAGCATAAATGCATAGCTGTTGATTTCAATGAATAATCAGAGTTCAGATGAACGACTCGTTCATCTGAACTGATTCCTCCTAACCCTAACCCAATCCCAAACCATCCGTGTGAATCCTTCTCAGCACTCCAAGAACACATCTGGTCTCTGTCACGCTCACACACACACACACACACACTCTTACACATACACACAGTCTTACACACACCTACACTTAAAACACTCACAAACGCACACACACAAACACACATACACAGTCTTACACACACCTACACTTAAAACACTCACAAATGCACACACACACACACACACACACACACACACACACACACACACACACACACACACACGAAGTCCAGGTCGAGAGGAGCCGATGCTAGTGTGTGAGTGCTGTAGCGTACCAAAAGGCCAAGTGTAGCGGCTTCTTTCCATTAAAAACGCCGCTGTGGGTGAGTGGGCTTGGCTGTGACGCGTCTTCCAACAAACCATTCTGATTCTTCTTATTTTCTGAGTTGATTTATTTGTGGTTAAAATACATAGGTTGAGATGGAATGAATTGGTTTCTGTTATATATTAAATGGTTTAAAGTAACACGACGACGACGACGGTCAACAGAAAAGTTTTCAAGACAACCACTCACCAACGCAGTTGGACGCTCAGCTGACAGATAAGAACTCAGCGACCACGCCCCCCTGCCATCACCTGCAGCATGATGAAAAATTAAAACACCAACATTCAATTTGGCTCCTACAATACCGACCCCTAATTATTATACTTCAAATAATAATTACAAAACTCAAGTATCTCAGGTTATGTCAGTTCTAAATTTCAAACAAAACTATTTACATTTTAGTATTACATTCATCAATATGGTTACCTATAATTTCCTGGTAAATCTACAAAGCCAATATTCCATGAAGAAAATAAAACAAAACATTACGGTGAAACTTCAGTCCAAGTTCCTAAATGTTCTCCGTCTCCTGCAAAGGACAGACTTTGTTAATGGGTCTATTCAGGAATCCAATCTTTGTCTTGATCCGAAGATGATGAACAAATCCTTTTTTGTCTTCGATAGTCTCTTGAATTTTTCCAGTTTGCCAGGAATTCCGTGGCGCTGACTCATCAATGATGATCATGATGTCTCCAGGCATTAAGTTCCGTTGTGGGTTGAACCACTTCTGTCTTTGTTGTAGTTGTGGAAGATACTCTTTGATCCATCGCTTCCAGAATAGATCTGCCATATATTGGACTTGTTTCCATCTTCAACGTAAATACAGGTCTTCCTTGTGAAAACATCCTGGTGGAAGTGATGGTATCATTTTCAGGAGTAGCAGATGGTTAGTGGTCAATGCTGCAAGGTCATTCAGATCCGTAGAAGCTTTCGTAATGGGTTGATTGTTCAAAACAGCTTCAGCTTCACAGAGAACTGTCCTGAGACTCTCTTCGTCAAGATTTTGTAAGTTTAAGACGGAGTTGAGGACTCTTCTTACAGATCGTATAAGTCTCTCCCATACGCCGCCATTGATGAGAACCAGTTGGTGGATGAAAAGTCCATTTTATGTTCTTTTGGAGAAGCGTATTGTGTATATGACTTCGATTCCATCCTTTTATCATTTCCTTTAGCTCACGATAGGCTCCAACAAAACTGGTGTCGTTGTCAGATCTTAGTCCTTTCACTTGACCTTGTCTGGCAATAAAACGGCGAAGGGCATTGATAAATGAATTTGTATCCAGTCATGATGCCATTTCTATGTGAATAGCTCTTGATGCCAAACATGTGAATATCACACCATAGCACTTTAAAATGGTTCATCCCCGCTTTACTGGAAAAGGTCCAAAATAATCAATTCCATCATAAGTGAAAGGTGGTTTATCAGGTGTTACCCTATATAAGGGCAAATCTGCCATCTGCTGGTGTCCTGGTGAAGCATTTATGCGTCGACACACAACACATTTAGCTACAATTCTTCTGATTGGTATTGTAACACCTGGGATCCAGCACTTTTGCCGCACTTTGGAGAGCATATGATTGCGACCTCCATGACCCACCTCTTTATGAACATGTTGTAGGATTAGATTTGCAACGTGAGAGCTTTGGGCCAGAATCAAAGGATGTTTCATCTCATCTGGCATGGATGCTCTGTGTAATCGCCCACCAACTCAAAATACACCTTCTTTCAAAATTGGATTGAGTTTGCGGATATGACTGGTTCTGTTAACATTGTTTTCTTTTGTTAAACAGGAAATTTCATCTCCAAAATCTTTCCTTTGGCAAAAGGAGATTATGGCAATTTCAGCATTGTCCAGTTCTTGAACTGTCAAATTGTTTATGAGCATAAGCTTTTCCTTTTTTGCTTGTCCATCATGTTTTTGTTCAGGAATATTATTGGCTTGCATTCTTCTTCTACTGTTGTATAAAAGCAGTTCTTTAACTCTAAGGATCCATGCTACTGCTTGTTTGAAATTAGTCCAGGATGAGAAACATTGAATGAAATGAGAAACTGGTTCCATTTCTCTTGATGCTTGAGCAGCGTTCACAGTTGTCTTTATTTCTGCATCATGTGATGAGATCTCTTCAACTTCATCGGGGTTATGAGGCCACTCCTCTTGTGGTAACAGGAGAAATGAAGGTCCAGACAACCATGTATTTTTATTCTTTCGGAATGATGTAACTGTGGTACCTCGAGAAGCCAAATCTCCTGGGTTGCTTTCTGTTCTGATGTATCTCCATTGTTGAGCATTTGAAACCTTGGTGATCTCAGAAACTCTGTTGGCAACAAAGGTGCAGAATCGGGTTGTTTTATTGTTTATGTATTTTAGCACCGAGGTGCTATCAGTCCAAAATACTGAATCCATCAGTTCAATCTGGAGTTCCTTTTTCCACATCACATCCATTCTGCATGCTACAGTAGCAGCGATCAGTTCCATTTGTGAGATTGCAATCTGTTTCAACGAAGCCACACAAGATTTTCCCATGATGAATACACTGTGGGTTTGGTTCCGATCATCTTTAACAAGTAAATATGTTACTGTTCCGTAGCCATCCTCAGATGCATCCGCAAAATGATGTAGCTGAGCAGACTTCAGTGTTCCAAAACTGTTTGGTTTAAAACAGCGATTAACTTGAAAATCATCCAACCTCGGGAGCTCTTGTAGCCAAAGAGTCCACTCCTGCATGACTGTCTCAGATCGTCCCATCCAATCTTTCTTCGACACAAATTTTGTAAGATCTTTTTGGCAATCAATATCACAAGTGCCAACAGTCCAAGGGGGTCATGAACAGAGCTTACTGCAGAAAGAATTCCATGTCGTGTTAATGGTAAAGCTTTCAAAACGATTTTGAACTTGAAAGCATCAGGTTCAACACACCATTGAACACCCAAAACTCTTTCTACTGGAAGCTTGTAGTTGGTTAAGTCAAAATCCTTTATTTCTTTTGCTCTGTAAGCTTCAGGTATTGCAACCAATACATCCCGACTGTTGCTTATCCACTTATTCAGCAGAAAGCCTCCTTTCAAGCATATTGCACTGAGTTCATAATAGAGAGCTTTTGCTTCCTCTTCAGAAGCTGCGGAGACCAGGCAGTCGTCAACATAAAAGTAGTTTAAGATTATACTCACTGCTTGAGGGCTGAATTGTGGTCCATGATCTTCAGCACATTTTCTTAGTGCAAAATTTGCACAACTGGGAGATGATGTTGCTCCAAAAACATGTACTGTCATTCTGTATTCGACCATGTTTTGAGTATAATCTCCTCCGGGCCGCCACAAGAATCTTAACAAGTCTCTGTCCTCTTCTGGTACCTTTACCTGACAGAACATTGATTTAATGTCTGCAGCATTAACGACAGGTTCTTTACGAAATCTTGTCAGAACTCTGATCAATGTGCTGGTTAAGTCAGGCCCCTGTAAGAGCTGGCTATTCAGCGCCACTCCATTGTACTTGGCCCCACAGAACACCACCCTGAGTTCTTTCTTTTGCATATGGAGTACACCATGGTGAGGTAGGTACCATTTTCTGCAATCGTTGCGTTCCAGATTGTCTTCTGGTACCTTTTCTGCACAACCTTTGGAGATTGTGTCAGACATGAAGTTATTGTAGTCTTGAAGAAAAGTTGAGTTCGTTATAAACTTTCTTTTCAGATTTTGAAGACGTTGTTCTGCAACAGCTCTATTATGTGGCATGCAGAATTTTGAATCTTTAAATGGGAGTCCGATTTGATAATGTCCATCTTGCAACTTGGCATTGTTAGAAACCTTGTCCAGAAATTGCTGACCTTCTTTGGAAGGTTCGTTTTCGTCTCTGGCACATTCTGGAAAATCTGTTTTGAATTGCAGATTCCAGAGTTCATCAAGCTTCTCCACAGATATCCTATTGACGCTTATCTGTGGTTCCTCTTCGGTTTGTGTTTCACCCAAAGGTCCATTAACTGTCCAGCCAAGTGCAGTTTTAACAGCATATGGTCCATCTCCAACACTTTTGACCACATCTAGCAGTTCTAGAACTTTAGGCACATTCGAGCCAATCAGCAAATTAATTTCTGAGTCGATTTCATGTAGATGTACTGACTTCAAATATGACCACTGTTTTATGTCACTTTCATTTGGAATAGTTTCTTTATTCACGGGCATAGCCCTCTGGGTATAAAGAATAGGAAGATCACAAAATTCATCGTCTTCCAGTCCAACAACTTCCACATTTGAAAAAATATGTGTTTCAACAATGTTCTTTTGTCCCATGGTTCTTAACAGAATGTTGAACTTTCTTCCTTGATGATTTAGCTCATTCATAAGCTTGGTCAAGAAATGCATAGGTATTCAGTGTCACATTTCCTTTTTTAGATTTAACCCCCACAGGTACTATTGACAGTTTGATTTTATCTCTACCGGCCCCAGTAAGAGCACTTGTCTGAATAGAGACTACAGCACGTTCACCAGCTTGTTCCATAGTTCCTTCTTGTTGTTTGTTGTCCTTTTTTGATGTATGTGTAGCATTTGAGGATGTTTTAAACCACATGTTTTGCAGTTTAAGCGCCTTCTGCAGTCCTTACTAATGTGACCTTTACAAAGACATCCAAAACAGACACCATTTGTTTTTAGAAAAGTGATTTTATCTTTGTGTGCTGTACTTTCAAACTTTCAACACTTCTAGAAGATGGTCTCCTTTACAAAACAAGCAATTCATTAGCTCTGTGGCGTTTTTTATTTTCTTGTCCTCGTCATTTTTCTTTTCAGCTGCTGTCACAGAAGTTGCAAAACGTCTTCAGACGGCTTTGTTTGGCGGAAACAGCTGTTCTTCAGCACAAACCAATACGCACAGCCTGCTGCATCACGAGGCAAGATTCACAGCAGCTTCCTCCAGCATTTGCTCTTCCGCATCCGCACATCACACCCCAGTAATGTCCTCAATGGACAAGCGGTGACTTTCAAACTGTGTTCATCATGATCAACTATTACACAGAGTAAATCAGTGTCCTACCGCTTCAGACGGGGGCGTTGCGCTGCTTTCCATTCATGACGGCAGATCAGCTGATCCATTTCCAGTGCCTGAGTGCGGCCGCTTCCAAACTCCTTCCAAAGGCGATAATCCTCCGATCCACAAAGCCGTCCCTCCACACAGTCCTTCCTCACAATCTTCTTCTTGTTTGATGCATGGAGCAACTTTTCTGTTGACTAAGTGTAGCAGCTTCTTTCCATTAAAAACGCTGCTGTGGGTGAGTGGCCTTGGCTGTGAAGCGTCTTCCAACAAACCATTCTGATTCTTCTTATTTTTTGAGTTGATTTATTTGTGGTTAAAATAAATAGGTTGAGATGGAATGAATTGGCTTCTGTTATATATTAAATGGTTTAAAGTAACACGACAACGGTCAACAGAAAAGTTTTCAAGAGTACCGCTCACCAAGGCAGTTGGACGCTCAACTGATAGGTAAGAACTCGGCAACCACGCCCCCCACCATCACCTGCAGCACGATGAAAAATTAAAACACCTGCGCCATAATATTAAACAAAAAAACATTTAATTTGTCTCCTACACCAAATATTTAATCAAAATTACCAAAAGTGAACTTTTAACTTGTGGGCCCAAACTACTTCTTCATACGGGTCAATCTGACACCGTAGTGCTGATTCGATGAGATGATCTGGTGAGCCACATCACGTCTGTCTGGTCTCCAAACCAGAAAAGCACTGCTCATTGACCTTGTTACCAAATAAGGGAGCCATAATAAGTCCTTCTTCTAGCTTCTGTATCTTAGCTGGAAAGCCAAGGTCTCGTGCAGAAGACAAGACTTTTACTCTCAGAATAAAGCTTATCTTTCTTGTCGTAAATTACCTTTTTTTAAACCTCATATTCTGATGAATGAACAATTTGTTTAAATCCAAAGAGTTTGATTAATGTGTCCTATACTTTACATTGTGGGTTAAAATTAATGTTTTTCCTGTAATGATTCATTTCAGATCTTAACCCTTTGATGCATAATGGTCACTACAGTGGACAGGTACTCAAAATTGTTATTTATTTGTTTTTGCTACTAAGCACAGCTGTTGAAGACTTTATTGCATTTAAGCCCCTCCATTTGGACTTCGGTAAGCCAAGCCAACACATTTCATGCTCAGAATGCACACTGTCCACTGAGGTGGACATGCAATAAATTATTTGTAAATTATAAAATTTTACAAAAAAAAATTGTTGAAATTTGTTTCATTCACACCAAAAGACGAATGAAAAAAAATTGGAAAAAAAATCATGAAGATTTCATAATTCATGCATCAAAGGGTTAAACTACATCAGATCAGTAATTGTTGATTCTAGTAATTTAATCTATCAGTATGAACACAATTATATCACAATATTATTATGAATGTTTAACATTTTTGCTCCATATAACTATTAACACTTTCACTTCACACTAAAGCCTGGTTCATGCTTCTCCGTCAGCTCCGCACGGGACAGACATGCACGGACTGACGGAAGCCTTTTGCTCTCATACTTCTCCGTCTCCTGGAGAGTGTTGCAAAGGAATTGCCCGGCAGGACAACAGAGGGCGTAGCGCTGTTCTGTGGTATCCTGTCATGTATCCGGTCCAAGATAGTGTGTTTATATTATGTTTTTTGTACATAAGAGACTTTTTAACACAGACAAATTTGTCTTTCATTCTCCTCCACCTCTTCATGCGCTCGCCACCTCCAAACCCACGTTTCCTGTCATTTCCGTCCACAAATAAAACGCTTGCTGCGCATCTTTTCACTCCTCCAGTCACGGGAATTAAACATTCATATTTTTAGAGTTTTTTTGCGAGGTTTTCTTCAAGCTTCTCTGTGTCTGCTGCTAGTTATCCTCGGCTCTCTTTATGTTTTTGAGGGCGCAATGGCGGCGCTGTAACAACAGCGGCGTCCTGACCAATCACAAGCTTGCGTTGTCCGTCTCGACTGACGGATGTTTAGAAAAGAGAGCTCGACTCCGTCCGTCCTTGCGGAGCTCTCCGGCAGGCACGCAAGGACGTTGCGTGTCTCCGCACTGACGCAGACGGAGAAGCATGAATCAGGCTTAAGAGTTAACCTCTTTGAGTATCTGAGTGAGGGAGTGATTCTATGAGGTCTTTGGCAACGCCTTTAAACTTGTCGAATTGTGATTAGTCCAAATTTGTCAACAAAATTTAATAAAAACAGCAATCACTTCCTGATCTAGTCAGTTCTCCAGACACCTCCCGATTAGGCCGATCAGGTGAGCAAGTAATGTCTTTGGAGGTGAAGTCAAGAGCTATAACCAAAGTAAACATTGGTGTAGCCTACGCTAGTGTGAGGGAGCTAAAGGACGCTACAAAATCACAGACTGATGATGACCTGGCTTTATTGCTACTAGAATTGTCGTCGTCGTCGTCGTCTCGTCGTCGTCTTCCTCCGCTTATCCGGGTCCGGGTCGCGGGGGCAGCATCCCAACTAGGGAGCTCCAGGCCGTCCTCTCCCCGGCCTTGTCCACCAGCTCCTCCGGCAGGACCCCAAGGCGTTCCCGGACCAGATTGGAGATGTAACCTCTCCAACGTGTCCTGGGTCGACCCGGGGGCCTTCTGCCGGCAGGACATGCCCGAAACACCTCCCCGGGGAGGCGTCCAGGAGGCATCCTGACCAGATGCCCAAACCACCTCAACTGGCTCCTTTCGATCCGGAGGAGCAGCGGTTCTACTCCGAGTCCCTCCCGAATGTCCGAGCTCCTCACCCTATCTCTAAGGCTGAGCCCGGCCACCCTATGGAGGAAACTCATTTCGGCCGCTTGTATCCGCGATCTCGTTCTTTCGGTCATTACCCAAAGCTCATGACCATAGGTGAGGATTGGGACGTAGATCGACCGGTAAATCGAGAGCCTGGCTTTCTGGCTCAGCTCCCTCTTCCCCACGACAGATCGGCTCAGCGTCCGCATCACTGCAGACGCCGAACCAATCTGCCTGTCGATCTCCCGATCCCTCCTACCCTCACTCGTGAACAAGACCCCGAGATACTTAAACTCCTCCACTTGAGGTAGGACCTCTCCCCCGACCCGGAGTTGGCAAGCCACCCTTTCCCGGTACTAGAATTGTAAGTAATAATATTTTTGTCCAACAGTGTGAATCTTTTAACTTCATGGTTTATTTCAGTATTCGTTGGCTCATGTTAGCATTAGCTTGTTGGTAGTGTTGGCTACAGCAGTTCCTCCACTTTCAACCAATAGGGCGGAGGAGCAGGAAACTGTCCTGTTACTGTTTCTGTCATTTAAAATCTGAGGCAACAGAACACATTTCAGACCCCAAAATGTCTTCCCAGCAGACAACCAGTATCAGAAAGTCTTTAAAAAAATCAAAGACCCAAACCCAGACCTGATAGGTGCTCCATCATTAGTTTTAAGCTAACATCTGTCAGGGACTTACCTTGTTACAAAGTTAAAATCCTTTCTTGTCCATCAAACTTTAGTGTTTTATTAAGGCAGAACCAGATTGGCTGGTACAAAAAAAACCTAAAGTTTCAGTCTGAATAGGTTCTGCTGTATGAAGACAGAACCTGCTAACCCTGGCAGTGGGACTAACAAGCCTTATCAATTACTATGGTTGGCACTGTCTGTCTTCAGACATGTTAGCTGTGTCCTCCAGAACAGCTAGGAGCTGAGTGTGACATCAGGCTGGACTACTGATATTTGTAAAGAAGACACCCAGAGCAACATGAGTCTTCAGTTTCACGAGGTTACAGAAACCAGCACTGAATAAAAATGGCTAAATTTCTCTTGAATCCACACCAGCCTGCGTGCAACAACTCGTCCCAGTAGACTGAACTCATTAGTCCCTTAATCACACGTTTGTGAAACCACGAGCTGATGTGGAAAATCCATCTCTTCCTCAGAGCCGAACAGTCTGAATACTCCGAGATCATTCATGCCCTGCGAGATGACAAACTATTGTTCAAATCCCGGTCTTTAATCTGAAGTAATAAACGTTCATTTATTTAATCTGTGCAGGACACTGGAAAACAAATTTGAGCAAATTTCTACACAGTTGGTTTCATTTTGGCATTTTCGTAACAGACTCAGATATATTAGATATTTATTCATATTTCTAAGTCTGACCTTCTGATTCCTTCAGAATCCTTGTTTAGATCCAATAAGCCGCATGGAAGAATTACTGGACTTTTACTTTTCTTCCTACAGAGGTCGCTCCCTCCTGCTGATGAGCCTGATGGTGGCCCAGACGCAAGCGACAGAGTTGGTAAGTTAAACACCAGCAACAGCTGACAGGCAAGAAAGTCCCAGCAACTGCTTTGGTTTGAGGTGGTTAAGGATTCCTGAGATCAAGGAACAAAGTTATAAGCTTGACTTGAGGTCTTACAGCACCAAAAGCTTGTAACAAAAATTCAAATCGTTAATTTAACAGGGACATTGCAGTCCAACATAGCACGATGTAGTTAAAGTTGATGCGACGCATTAGAGTTTATAGCTAGTGCTAGTGTTCAACTTCTGGCCCTGGATGGGTTCTTCTTTTCACAAAAAAAAATAAATAAATAATAATAATAGGGCTGCACAATATATCACAAATATATCGTTCTCGTGATATCAGCATGCACAATATGCATATAGCAAAGAACAGATGAATATCGCAATGAATGGTCAGCTCAAATGTTTGCCACACATAATACATTCTTTCAGTCAAACGGAAGCATGATGTTTTTTAACCATTAAAATAGAGCTCTTCAACCAATTGGCCAATTGGGTGGGTTCTCATAGGTTAGATGCCCCCCCACCCCACCCCCGCTCTTTGTGCTGATTCTGCTTTTCCCGGGATCCACTGATTGCCTTTTCTTGTTCATTTTCTTTTCCCTTTCCTCACATCTTTTGCTTTTCTCATTTTTATGATTTTTTTGTCATTTATTTATTTCTTTGTTTTTGATTATTTTTGTTCATGAGTTAAGTTTTTATTTATCGCAACTAATATCATCATCTCAATAGTAATCACTGTTATCGCATATCGCAGGTTTTCCTAATATCGTGCGGCCCTAAAAAAATATAAAAATTCACAACAAATAAACACCCACACTACCCAACGTCCAACATTCACTCATTCACATGTAAAACCAGTGCTAACTACGAATGGGTACAATTTTGGTTTTGTTTTAGCCAACACCTAAGCCTTAGAAGTGAACGTCTTTAGTTCGTTTGGTACTGACTTCCAAAATTTAGTACTTCTGTAAAAGTTGAACAAAAAACGTCCTGCTACAACGCAGAACCTGGTATTTGTTACTTATGGAACCTTTGGTGACTCTATTGCCATTTTGTCTCTGAGTAAATGAACTAACAGGCTCATGTTCTAGATTATAGGTGCATTTAAATATTTGCTTGTGAAAGCATAGCCTGTGGAAGCTTTCAAAACTTAGCAATCTGTACTTTTTGAGACTATTGCAATGATGTTAGCAAATTGAGTTTCATCCATAATATTTATTGTTTAATTAAACAGGGAACCAATGAGCTTTATGACTGAAGATATGGTGTGGTGGGACATCATGATAGATGTGAGAATATCCTAGTATGCATGTACAAAAGGGTGACCTCTGTCACGTTGCGGGTTAGGAGGAGGTTAGGACCCAAGATGCAGAAAACACCAGATGACACTATGCACGAGCGGTTATAAAAGTTAAATCCTTTTAATTTAGGATGAGGAACCAAAAATCCAAAAGGGCAGGAAGCCAAAAACCAAAGTCCTGAAACCCAGGAGAACGAAAGCTCACATAGAGCACAAACGAAGAGACGAGGCACAAAAGCTCACATAGAGCACAAAACAACGCTGACACAAAACAATGGACCGACAAGACATTAAGACACAGACAGGGCTTTACACACTGGGGCATGATGGGAGGCAGATGGGCTGCAGGTGTGTGGGGAGAGAACCAGGTGAAAGCAATTAACTAATCAGGGAGGAAACTAACATGACCTAAGAGTAAAACCTAAAGACAAGAAAAACTGCAACATAACTAATATTCTAAAGGGAAGGAAAACTACAAACACCGGTGGGAAAAACACACTAAAGAGACTAATAAAATGAAAAGCTGAAACTATAAAAACTGCGGAGGGGTGACTGGGGAAAACTGAAGGAACACAGGACCTGGGAGAGATGATCTGGGGGGCTGTAGATCTGGGAACACATGAGGAAGACGTAGACAATGACACAAGAGGGCGCTAGGATACACAACAGGAGAGCCTAGAGACGAATAGAGAACACAAGGAGACATGAGGGGAGACGCAGACGCAGACCATGACAACCTCATTTGGGATGCAATGTAAAACCTTACATTGACGGTCGCATTGATTGACCTTACATGTAACATTGCTTTTTGTGCTGTCCTTGTTCAATAAACCCAAATTATAAACATACCGACTGGTAAACTTAAAGATATTCAAATGACTTTTATAGTTGCTGAAAATTTCTTCATGGATTTGTCAAATTTCACTTGGGATGAAGAACCAATCCAGGATGTTTACATTCTATTGCAGATTGAATGAATTTAGTTTAGCAGATTAATTTAAAAGCTTTGAGCAGCATTTTTTCTGATCGAAAAGCACATTAATACCACCTTGGTTAAGTTGGGCACCACATGACTGCATGAGCCATTGACTCACCTCAGCCATACAAGCAGACAAAATACCTGTTGCTTTCTCTGGAGACTATGCAGGTGCATAAAAAACTGTTCCTCCTTGTGACATTGCTCCAGTGCCTTGTGGCTATGAAATAACAAGTGAGAAGGCCAGTGCTCTGTGTGGGTGGGCAGTTTTTCCAAATCTCCTCCAGCACCTGGTTTCTGCTGCTCCACTGAAATATCCTGCTGCTCCCACGTAAATAGGACTGGATTAAGGAGCATGACCCCACCAAAAGAGTAACCACCAGAAGTACTTCTGATGCATGTGCACAGTCCTGCTGAGATGTTACCTTGTCAAGTCAAACTTGAGGAATTTGGGTGTTATGTTGGTGAAGGTTCTCAGTCATCCAGGTCATGGTAATTCAAAGGGTTCACATGAAGGCAACTAGACTTATTTGGCTTCTTGAAGATGTTTCCCTTCTCATCTAAGGAGCTTTGTCAATTCTACCTGGAATATGGGAGAGTCAAGCTTATAAGCTAAATAAGTATGTTAAATAGAATGTTCGTACAAACGACCAAAATTCTCCTTTATGAAACATGTGGTGGCCTCTCTTAAGCATGTTCCTCCACAATTGACTGTCAATAAATCCCATCTGTGCATACCCAGGTGCTTGTGTCCTTTCACAGCCATTTACATACAGAAACATCCTCAATTAACCACGTCCTCGAAAGCTCCTGGGACTGAAAGTAACAGACTGAATGCCCCCCATCATTTCTTTTGTTGTTCTCTATAGCAAACAAATGAGTGTGTGTGTTGTGTGTGTGTGTGTGTGTGTGTGTGTGTGTGTGTGTGTGTGTGTGTGTGTGTTGCAGACCTTCCCACATGCCTGAAGTGTGTGTGTCTGTCTCGCTCGGTTTACTGTGAGGACGTCAGTCCAGACATGACCAAAGTTCCCCCTCTGCCAAAAGAAACTTCTTACCTGTATGCACGCTTCAACAAGATCAGAAAGATCAGCAGGAATGACTTTGGAGACACCGGTAGGTCTGAGATGTTTGGGACTGCTGGTTGACAGCAGGAGGTGGTATTTAAACTACAACTACGTTATCTGTCAACAGTGACTCTGAAGAGGATCGACCTAACCGGGAACATGATCTCAGATATCGATGATGGTGCTTTCTCTAAGCTAACACTTCTGGAGGAACTGTCTCTGGCTGAGAACAAACTGGTCAAACTTCCAACACTTCCAGCCAAACTCACATCCTTTAATGCAAACAGCAACCTCCTGAAAACCAAGGGTGTAAAGGCCACCATCTTCACGGTATGTCACCACCAGCTATCAGGGAACACTCATGTTTCTCCATGTAACGGCATGAAGGTTCTCTGATTTGAGCCAAAGGTCACATTTGCCCAGCTGGGTCAAACTGGGTCAAACGGTACTTTGAATCCACAGATTAAACCCAAGGAGCCACAATGTCTAGCCAAGATCATAACACCAGTATCCGCTGTTCCGTCCCAAGAAGGACACTTCAAGCCACGATGATAATAATTAAATAATAATTAATAATTCATGACTTTATTACAGTTTAAATAATCATTAATACATGATCACTTGGTTCAGATATAAAGGTATCTTAATTACATGAAATGGATTATTATGCTTTGGGTATTATAATGATAATTATTATAATGATTAAAGATGTGTTCAGCAAAGAAGACCTTCACCCTGTTCAGCCAACACAGAGTTCAGATAAACAATAACTGCATCACATGTTTTTTGACGCATGACCAAGCTTTCTTCCGGAGAGAGTGGGAGTGGTTCTGAGAGAGTTTGGTAAAGACTAACCATCACAGATTTCACGTCCAGTTCTGAACAAGACATCATCCTGAGGAGCCAGGGACAGCCGCCCTGACCTCTGCCTGCTGTTCTGTCACGCCGACAAGAATGGCTAAAGAACAAACGAAACTAACGAGCTAACGCAAGACTCTCCAAGAGTCATTTGATTTCTGAAGTTAAGACGGTAACGGGCATCTGCCAAATGCTTCGTACAGCCGTGTACCCGGCTACCACTCTGGACCAGAGCATCGGACACTCGCATCTTTCTGCCAGCCCCGAGTGACATCTTGGATGAACCCATCCTCCGATCTCCGGATCCACATGAGGGTCAGCCCTGTTTGGGTGAGGTAGAACACAACAGATGACGTTTGATGCTGTTTTCTCTCAAAATAACTCAGTTATCCGTAAAACATAATTTTCACCAGATCGCTTCCATTCCCTCTGAAAGAAACCTTCTGAGAACTTCATTCACGCATTCCAAAACTCACCATTCTCATTTTTAGTTCCATCCAACACAGGTTTGCTTTTAAACAAGTTTAATATCAAAGCTGTTGAGAATTGTCATTAAAATTGCCATCCATGAATTGTCATTTTTATAATTGTCGCTTCAAATTTTCAGTTTAAAATTATTAGTAATAAATTTCTTCATTTTTAAACTTGCCTCATTATTGAAACGAAACACAGAAAAGGGTTGCATTTTCAGTTTATCTAATGAAAAGAATCTTACTGAATCTTCTGTTTAATAAATAAACTTTTGCTATTAATTTAAGTATCTTAAATTAATTTTCACACCATTACAACCACTTAACTATTCCACAGAGCAAAGCTGACGTGTCTCAAACCAGCACACACAAAACAATCCAATCAAACCATAAATAACCCAATATAGGGCTGGGCAAAAAAACTGAAAATGCATCATTATCAAAATTTCTGACTTTTATCAAGATCATTTTTCCAACGTCAATAAATTTGATAATTAAAAAAAGAAAAGGCTTGTAGGTTGGCAGCGTTCATGTCCCTTTAAGAAGCGGTACCACCTTGAGTCAAAAATGTAACTCAACATAATACATGTGACCGCCCCATCTAGTGGACAACTGTTGTTTCTGCACATACCTGTAGTTATCGTCCATTTATCGTTATCAAGGTTAAATCCTCAATATATCGTGATATTGATTTTAGGCTATATCACCCAGCCCTTACTCAACTAATGATGCATCTTGGTAATAAAGCCTCTACTGGTGGAAAACCTGATTATTCCGTTTTTCTAGGAACAAACACCCACATGGGTGGTAGATCCATGGAACCAAAAACACAGCTGAAGATCTGGGTACCGTCATGTCCAGTTTCCTGTCACAGAACATAGAAAAAACTAAGAACAAACCAAACCCAAATTTAGAAACTACAGATTTGAATAAAACATGTTTTTTCCACTGATTTTAACTGCCAAATGATTAAAGAGGGACAACCTGTGAATGTAAACTGAGCTCATGAGAAACAGGAGTTTATCTGATTTATTTTTATCTCATTTTTTCCACCACAGAAGCTAACCAACCTGGCTAACCTGTACCTGGCTGACAACCAGCTGGATGCTGTTCCACACATTCCAGAGAGTGTTCGAATCCTACACTTACAGGTTTGGATAATTTATTCGTGGTCCTGCATTTTGGTAGCCTGGCCTGCCAGACTCGTCCTCTGGTTAATTCTGCACAGAGAGAGAGTCTGGTAACTCACAGGCAGAGAGGCACATGAGGGGCGGGACTAGGCAGCTCAAAAATAACCAATCAGAAAAAAGACAGAAACGCTGACTGTACCATGCAATGCTGTAGTTTTTTTTTAGAGATAAAAGGCATCTGACTACGGCGCCAACATCTTTTATTTTTTTAGAAGAAATGGTTTTAGCGCTTCTACTTGTTGTGGTTTTAAAGACATTCAAGTCCTTTAGACCAGAGGAAAGAGCCTCAGCGAACTCCGCTTCAGCTGCCATGTTTATGACAAACTGGTCGTTGTGGTGTGTGACGTACACTGCTCAGCGCTGATTGGCTCGGTTAGCATTCTCAGGGGGCAGAGTTATTTGAATAGGAGAGTTCCCAGACCCTTTCTCTGTGCAGAATTAAACAGAGGATGAGTCTGGCAGGCCAGGCTAAAATTTTGGAGCGCTTGGCTTTAATTTATTGTAATTTTTTCATGGAAAAAAACAGCCTGAAACTACTTTGGCTTCATACATGCATTTTCCTGCCTTAGCTGTTACTTTCCTTCAGCTCAGTAAATTTTTGCTAAGCTGTTGCATTCAGCTGGATTGGGTTGTTGCTACATCGTTGCTGAGTGGGACATGATGGCGTGAATCTGCAGTCTTTAGATCTGCAGCTGTGCACCATTATGGAATTCACAAGGGGGGAGGCGGGACTTCATTGAATCCAAGCGTCTGGGTTAAAGGAATGAGTCATAGAATGTGTGTTGTGTGTGTGTATATATATATATATATGTGTGTGTGTGTGTGTATACACACCTATTGTTGCTCTGGAAGGGGTAAAATAGCATGATACAAGTCCTTTAAACGAACTAATCTGATTCTGGTACAGCTTTCTCTGTATAACCAGATTTCATTGTAGTTCTGTTCTTTTTTAGCTAGTTTTTACGTTTCTCACCATATGTTTATGAACTACAGAACAACAACATCACTGATGTCAACAAAGACACCTTCTGCAAGTCCAACGACACCTACTATCTCAGACTCAGTCTCTCTGAAGTCCGAATGGACGGGAATCCAGTGGAGCTGTCCAAGTTCCCCGACAGCTTCACCTGTATGAAGATTCTGCCAGTTGGACGGTATCGTTGATGAGGAACAGACTGTACCATGGCTGGCAGAACTGTTTCCCTGGGTGGAAGTAATGAGCATTACTGTGACATTCTGGACTTCTGGGAGCTGGTCCCACTGACCACAGGAATAAAGGTTTTAGTGTTTTTACCTTCACTACAACTGACAGCTGGTTTCTGGTCAAACAGGAGATGATTTACTGGACTGAAGAATTGAACTGATCTAAGTATGTGTACATTCAGCAGCTAGCGTCAGAACCATTTGAATTAATCCTGATTTGCCCCAGTTCGTTTCCCTTACCATTTTAACTGAAATGCCTTAATTTCAGTCAAAGGAAAGTGCTTTTATATCCTTTGTGGTAAAGAACCTTTTATTTTTTTAATCGAAACATCTTCTCCAAACCCAATCAGCCAGATAGTGTTCTGCTGTGTTGAGGAGCCTCTCGGCATTTGAGAGCAGCACTGAGCCATTGACCAGTTTCTACTAATGCTTGGAGCCGTAATGCTTTTGGTATCACCAACAAGTGTTGGGACCAAACATGGAAATGCTCTCTTAAAAATGCAAAACACAGCAAGCAGTTGCTCTTGTTTCTTAAGTTCAGCAGAGAGGTAAACCTTAAAAATATCCTCAACGTTTAAACACAGCTGAGATTATTTAATTATTAACGTCTCAAACCCAATCCCTCCACGGTGGGACCTAAAAGTGCTTAAACCTTCTCAGCCTTTAATGGCCGCTGCTCCATCAGTGCTAATAGTGATATTTTCTTGTATCGACAGAGTTGATTTGCATAGTTTAAAAAGAACTATTAAAACCAACCATATCCATTTTATCAGGCTATAAAACAAACATCTGGATGGTATATGGCATTAGTCAGAGCATGAGTCAGGCGGAACATCACAACAGTATTGGGGAGTGTTAAAGTGCATCTTTAATGCTGTTTAAAATGGTAGAAGAACATCATCTAAGGTCAAAAAGATACTTTAGTTATTTAACTAGCAGGTGTTTAATAATACTAAAGTGAGGAAAGTGGACAGGCTTCCCTAACAAACGTGCGGTTTTGGAGAAACCACTAACATGTGTTTGACGTGGAGGATGCCCTTTAACCGGCGCCTCAGACACTCCCTGTGGTTTGCCTCTTAAACACTAGGCAGTGCTACAGAGAAGCTAAAACCACTAAACTACAGCATTCCTGATGACTAAAGGTAACAACACCTCTCTGGGACTATGTTCATGGGCTTGTCAACATCAGAATATTAGTGAAGGATTCAAACATCTTTAGACATTCTGGGGTCAGACGTGATACCCAATATCAGTCCAGTTTACAGTTTTCTTTTGACCAGTACTGCATCACTGTACAAGCAAAAGGCTTGTAGTACTTAGTGACTTTTAATTTATGTAGTTCAGTTAAAGTGGACTAGAGTACATGTATCCATGATCTATAGTAACGTGAAAGTTATTCTTCCTTTAACACCTGTATCTTGTTTTGACCCAAGTCTTCCTCTCCAGCATCAAAGGTCATGTTGAAGGTTATAATGATGTGAATAAGAAATGGTACAGGAGGATGTGGGTGTAAGAGTGCTATGTTGGAGGACTTTAATAAAGTTTAACTAACTGTCGAACTTGTCATTTTTTGCTCTCCAATCTTTAATGTTAGAAACACCATTTGGTGGTGTGTTAGCAATCTTCCAACTAAAAGGAGTAGCTGTGTTTGTTGAGGTTGCCATAGAAACTGTATCAGTGAGGGACACACAAGAATGTAGCCCAACACTGTCAATGCATTTGGAGCCTCCTGTATTAATGCTCCTCCCCTTTCAGTCGGCACATGGGTCCCTTAACGGGGCTATAAAAGTTCATTTCTAAGCCGCTTTGCCCTACGTCCTGAATCAAACACATGTTGCACTTAAGTTTAAATAATACATGATCACGTGTGTTTCAACCTTATCCGTCATGTAATTTGAGATGTATTCATTTGTAAAGACAATGACTATAAATCACACGTATCATATATGACATTCAGCAGAATCTTTTCTCCCCCAGCTGCTACATACCACCTGACCAGATTTATCCACATATAATGCTCCTTCTGTCATCCTGAAAAAAGGATTTTAAGCTCACTAAACTACTCTTATCTTTGCTGTGTCTGGTTTGATGATATACATTTAGTGAAACATGCAGGTATTGTTATGTAGTTATGCTTTTCACAATAAGCCCCAATAAGTTAAACAATGCTGAACCAGGCAGCAACACCAGGCAACCCTGACGCCAACTACAACGGCTAAGTGAAGTACCATCAGAAATCCGTGAAGATGTGAATGCAGCATTGATAAGGATTCCTACAACACCATCACTGAAACCAATGAGCTGATAAACACTTCAGCAGCAGTGATCCTTGAGATGCTCGGCTATAAGTGCAAGAGCAATCATGAGAGACAATACCCACCATGGAAGAGAAGGTTAAAGGCCAAAATCAAGGCAGCATGGAGAGAAGTGAACCAACTATCAGAGCTCCAGAAAGGTACAACGAGAAAACCAGGACCCAAGAGCTACAGCCAGATACCCATACCTGAAGCACTGGAAACTGCCAAACAAAGGCTCCAAACCTTGGCCAGCTGCTTAAAGAGATACACAAGAGAAAGTGAAGCCAGACAAATAAACTGGCTCTTCTCGACCCAACCAGCTAAAGTGTACTCCCAGTAGCAGTGTAATGATAACAGAGCAGACGCATCAAGCCTGGAGACTGAACGGTACTGGACGGGCAATTGAGAGATGGAGGCATCACACAACAGCAATGCAAAGTAGCTAGCCTCTCTAAGAGAAGACCACAGCAACCTCCCTGAGCAGAACCCAGTAACCATCACTGTGACATCCAGGAAAGATTCTCAGGTATGAAAAACTGGATAGCACCAGGACCTGACATGAACCACACCTACTGGCTTAAGAAGATCAATGCACTCCATGAGCACCTGGCAGCACAAATGAACCAGCTGCTAAAGGATGGGACTCACCCTGAATGGCTAACTTTAGAACGAGCAATCCTGATCCTGAAGGACCCCTCCAAGTATACAATCCCATCCAACTATCGGCCAATAACATGTCTTTCCACAACACGGAAGCTCATATCAGGCTCAGTCTGGATCTGGAAGTCCCACAGGAGCTTTGCTCGCTCGTTCACTACCACCTTATGGGGTGTTTCCCACTTTGACCTTGGAGCTTCCAGTACATACTCTGCACAGATGCTTCTGCACACTATGCCAGCCACTTTCTATATATATATATATATATATATATATATATATATATATACATTTATATATATATATATATATATACATATATATATAGGGTTTCCGCTATATGTATTTTGCGATATCTCCTTAACGCTACATATTAATGGCGAACCAATCCAGTCTTTTCAAATCATAACACTTCATGTTGGTTCATATTTCTTAAGTTAAAAATCACTTCTGGGTTTCTGTTCTGTTGAGCTGAGACGGAGCTTCCCGTCTCCTTATCTTGGAGAGTGCTGACTTTATCTCGCTCACCCGAGTCTGCTTCTGTACTAAGCGTCTGCTTACGTGGTTATGGTGGTGACACCTCTTGAGACTGGAGAATGTCGGTGCTTACGGTCAATCTACTGGACCTGGGTGCCCTGAGGTCATCCGACCTCTTCTGACCTCCGGATCCGTACAAGGGTCATCCAAAGGGTGAGAGTAGAACACAGAGAGATTGCGTCTGAATGTGTTTTGATAACAATCAACCTCATAGTTTATTGGAAACCAAATTCTTTTTCATCCGGAGACGCCGCTCTCTGAGGTTCGGAAGTTCTGACCAACACCTCATTTACACATAGCCTACATCACCTTTAGACCCATCCATTCACGGTAAATGCTTAGTTCACTTGTCGTGTTCTTCTTGTAATAAAAATAAATTTTTACTATAAACCTGACTCTTTCACGAATCAAAACGAAGTGTGTATAATTGCTTAATAAAGCAAAGAATCTTAGAATCTTCTGATTAAGCCCTATAATTTTCTGATATTTACAATAAAGATCAAGCAAGGTAATATTATATATTTATTCAGAATATCAAATAAATAATACACATTTGCCACTGCTACAACAATATCCCTAACCATCGGTGTTCACCAGCAGGTTCAGGGGTTGCCACCACGACAGGCACCGACCACAGCTCTGGTCAGCCGCCTCAAAAATGGAGGCCCTGAACACGGCCCATTCGGACTCAATGTCCCCCGCCTTCCTTGGAACATTTTGGAAGTTCTGTAGATGTTTTCCCTTTTTTTTTTGGACCATTCTCTGTAAACCCTAAAGATGGATGTGTGTGACAATCCCAGAAGATCAGCAATTTGTGAAATAGTCAGACCAGCCCGTCTGGCACCAAAAACCATGCCACATTCAAAGTAATTTCAATAATAATTCTTCCCCAGCAGATCGACTTGCCCATGTCAACATACATAAATGCCACCATGTGATTGGCTGATTAGTAAATTGCATCAACGAGCAGTTGGGACAGCTGGTACCGAATAAAGTGGCCAGTGAGTATACACTCTGGTTTTGATATTAGGGTAATTTTCCTAGATCTGTTTAAAACAGAGAGCAAGTGAGGACTCGGCAACCAAGCAAGCACTGAGGGTTCTACATACATGTCTGTCACTGCTATGTGCTCACTGGTCAACATGTGCACACACAGTTTAAATCACAGTCAGTTGGGCAGATCCTTGTGCGCTTGCAGACACGGTTTGCTCTCTTACGATGTAAAAATATCCTCTTGCTGTGTATATTTTCACTCAAGACCTACAACTTCCTCATGCATGTTGTTTTCATACGTGCAGTAACCGGATGCACGAGTTTTGGCACTTGACACCAGAGTATGCCACATACCAGGGGTGATGGTGGCACAGGAGTTAAGTGCTCACTCCGTAAATGGAAGGTTGCAGGTTTGAGCCTCGCTCAGTCTGTTGCTGTCGTTGTGTCTTTGGGCAAGACACTTAACTCGCCTTGCCTGCTGGTGGAGGTCGGAGGGACCGGTGGCGCCTGTGCTCGGCAGCCTCGCCTCTGTTAGTGTGCCCCAGGGCAGCTGTGGCTACATCGTAGCTCATCACCATCAGTGTGAGAATGTGTGAATGGCTGATTGTGTTGTAAAGTGCCTTGGGGGGGGGGGGGGGGGGGGGGTGTTACAGGACTCTAGAAGGCACTATATCATATACAAGCCATTTACCATATGCTGTAAGGATGTTGGCTATTAAGGTCACAAAATGTGTAGTAACAATAATACAGAAACATACATAGGTGTGTGTGTGTGTGTGTGTGTGTGTGTGTGTGTGTGTGTGTGTGTGTGTGTCTACCACAGACGACGTTGATCAGTGATCCAACAACCAATAGATGTGGTCTGTTAGGTGCTTAACCTTCTGGTTAACTCAGCAAAAACATTCAGGTTTATGATTTGTTTACTCCTCTAAAGTAAAGCTTGTTTGTGTGGAACACATTACAGCAGGGAACTTACAGCACTTACTGCATTTTCCACTGAAATGAAAAAAAAAATGCTTGTTGAGCAAAATCAAGCGTCTGAGGCCTGTCTGGAAAAAGTGGGTTAGTCATCTTCAATTCAAGCCAAGTTGGCTAAAGGAGTGAATCTGAGTAAACAGGAGAATATGTTCCATGCTGCCTCTGCAGCAACAAACTTTTAGGTGAAGTCCTGAAATGGACATCACCAATATAAATCACACCTGCTGCTCTTTTCCTTCCACTAGTTTCTAACTTGCATGAATCGTCCAGAGTTAACGAGAGCAGATAGGAAGTTTTAACCAGATCCAAGTGTCTGTGAAAGGGACAAGAGAAGAAGACCCATTCTGCTGACTAAATGAGAAATAGTTCTATAGGTTTATTTAGGTTTGACTTTTTAATTTCATTCATTCACAAACTCTTAGTGACTGAAAACCCCATATTACCCAAGTGTCCTGCACAGGCAGACAACAGCAACACCTTTAAACGGTTAAAACTATTCAAATTCATGGTAATTATTAGCTAGATCACTTTGGCTACACATCTACAGCGAAAGGTCTTTACAGAGGGGATTTCAAGTCTTTTTGCCTTGAAACTGCCCTGGGTGTGTGACTGAAAGTTGAAGCTAATATGAATTGTATCAAATATATATAAATATTACTTGCTTATAAATGATTACTTTATACAGTTAAAAGAGCAGTGGGATAAATCTACCTACATTTTCCTTTTCAAACTTTTTTTGTATTCGTCTTTCCTGTCCTATCTATCTCTTATCTTCCTGAATTTCCTCTCAATCCTTCAGAAAAACTGCTGCCTGTATTCTCTATTTTTATTGCCTCATGAGCTACTTTTGAACTAAGCAGTTCAGCTATTGTAAAGGGCAGAAGATGGGACTTGACAGACCCAGGAGGCCTGGTGAGCCGGTTAGGGATGCTGGCGATGAAGACAACTGAGTAGGGTGGGAACAGCTGGGTGCCGAGACCACGCCCCCCTCCCCCCCTCCCCCCCTCCCCCCCCCACCACCATTATGGGATCAGTCCCCAAGGCAGCCCAAGCTGAGTCCCAAGACAGACACCCACCATGCCACAGCAGGGGCCAGGGACTCCAGTCCAATCCCCTTCCTGTTATTTAGGCTGTCACTTATAAATCTTGCAGGGCGGCTAGCTGGATAATGCCTACAGCACTATTAGACACTTATTTATGTAGTTTATCAGTGAACAGAAGTAGATTTGAGGGTGACTTACTCTTTAAGCTGCAGTGATCTGACTCACCACAATAGAACCAACAACCACACCTATCTATTGACGTGTGTCAAATACAGATGGATGATTATACATCCCAAGAAAGACACTGGACAGGTTGCTTCAAGCAAGAGTTTTGGTGTATGAAGGTCTTCACCTACTTGGAAATGCTGGAAGGCTCTTGTTCGATCAGCACATCTGTCTGAGAAGGTCCTTAAAGTCCTAAAGAACAGCAGAAGGTTGTTGTTCTCCTCCACTCTGAAATCACAAGACAGTTCCAGGTGTTTATGTAAAACTGTCTCCAAAACAAACCAAAAGAAGCAGCACCAACGGTGTAGGAGCCAAAAATGAGGATGTTTTTTGTTTATGTGTATTGATTTGTATATTGGGGGTGGGTGTGTCCTTGAGCTACTTATCTTCACCTGCCGCCTGTTGAGCGGAGACTGGCAGGAAGGATGATGGCGGGGTGAGCTTGGGTGAAAGCGTTTCGTTGACCTGAACACTGCGTAATCGTGTGCTGATCCATTATCATGTTGCAAGTTTGATGTGGAACAAATAAAGACGACGTAAACGCAGTTGAAAGTTGTAGCGCGTCATTAGGATTAACCCACGCTGAGCCTGCCACGGCACTGACGGAAAACGCTCGGAGCCTGCTGCAAACAAACAGGATAAGGGATCTTTGTCTGGAGATAGAGTAGATCATGAGGGGTCATCAGGGAACACCATCCTTGTTTAGAACTGGAAAATTAATCAGTTTCCCAGTGCGCCGTTTCAGTGGTGAGTAAGTTCTCATCTTCTGTGGGACCTCATCAGTGTCTCACATGGTTGTAAAACAGTCTAACCTTTTCAAAGAGTTTCTTGTTGATTACTTACAATTAGCCGCCAAGCTCAGAAATAACTCAATACACTGATTAGTTTGTCTCAAATACAGTCCGCAATGAAGAATAAATTCATTCTAATCAACTGTGCTTTGGTTTTAATTCATGTCTTTGTTGCTGTGTCCAAGAATCCCGACCACATCAGACCAGAGAATCACTTCTGCATCGTTTCCTGTTAGTCAACATTGTCCCACATAAACTTTGGAAACGGGCTGTTATTGGTCATATTTCCTTCCTGATCAATAAAAGGTTTACAATGATCATATTTTAGACGATACAGCACCAGAACATCCAGCACAAGAAGGGATGAAAAGAAACAAAATTACCTGAAAGTTTAGGGAAAAATCATCAGAAATGTTGATGTACATGAATAAGGAGAGCAGTGGCAGATCCTCAAAGGTAAAGGCACTCATTTTAGAAAAGGACAGAGAAAAACGTAAAATGTCTGATAAAAGGCAAGGCAGCTTTACTTCTGTAGCACATTTCATACACAGAAGCAATTCTATGTATTTCCATTAACAGGAAAAACAATAAAAACTCTTTAAAAAACTCGTTCTGTAGATTGTGGTGGAGGTGGAATGTCCGTACGAATGGTCAACATCCTGATTTATGAAACATCTCGTACGCATGTTCCTCCAGACTCGTCTGATGGTAAATCCCACCTGTACCCAGGTGCTCATGTCCACGCAGTCATTTACATACACAGGGTATCTGCAGGTTTAAGGGAGCCAAATTTAAGACTTTTTAAGACCTTTAATAAGGCCACTTTGACCAAATTTAAGTAATTTAAAAAAAATTTAAATTTAAGCTATAATTTCCAGCTATTGCCTGGAACCGGTGCTAACCACGTCGCGATTGTAGGTTTAGCCATCCAGTTACCATTAAACGTGCACTTCCCCATGGCGCAAGCTCCCGCTAGCTTAACCAGCTAATGTGCTCATCTAAAAATAGGCCCTTTCACAACCAACTGAATGTATACGGTTCCACTTTTGTTAATATCATACACCAAAAATGCTTAACACCAACTAGAAATTCATGAAAATTTTATAAAAATAAAGAATCTTGTTTATTGGGTCTTTGGTAATTTAAGACCTTTAGAAATTGCATTTAAGGATTATTTGTCATTTTTAATGATTTTTAAGGCCTTAAATTTGGAAAAGCAAATTTAAGACTTTTTAAGGACCCGCAGATACCCTGCATACAGAAACACCCTCAGTTAACCATATTTGGTCACGCTACGTCCTTAGCACCTGGGGGGGATTCCCTGGGTATCAGGTTCATGCGGTTTATCTGCCGCTGCACAAAGGGTCCCAAATCCCAGCCTAGCTCCAGAAGGATCTCCTTCGTGGAGATCAGAGTGCTCACAGAGGACACGTTCCCTCCAGAGAGCATGCTCTGCCAAATCCCCAACACATAACAGCCACAATGTCAGATTCCCATCAGTCACACGTGGCTGTTATTGGTTTCAGCACCAGTTATGTAAAAAGCTGTTTTTCCACTGACATGGTCGTTTATTGGGTAAATATTTTATGCATGAGGATCGTGTGGACGACTGAGACCTTCAGTACTGTGGTTCCGCCGTTCTACCACTAGACTCTGTTCGTACGCATGGGCAGAGCTGTTCTTATACTTAGGAACACTTCTACGCACAAGTACTAACTGGTCAATAATCGTTCCTATGCCCATATAAATGATGCACAGATCTGTTCGTACGTACAGCTGATAAACGAGGGCCTGGAGACCACTCAGATTAAAGGATGGATCACATTAGTGGAATAATCTGCTGACATTGTTCATTAATAGTGTGAAAGACATCTGTTTACAGTTCTGCCTGTTATGTATAACTATGCCCAATACACACACACACACACACACACACACACACACACACACACACACACACACACAGAGTGCTGAACAGTCTCCAGGGTTTTTCCGTATGCCCCTGCCAGGTTCAGCAGCCTGACTCACTCAGCCCAGATGTGGTTTGGCTTCAGACTTGGAGCAGATGAAGGAGAAGAAGCAGCAGCAACTCTAGATGAATCACTGCTGAATGACGTCGGCCAAAACTTCAGACGGAGTCAGACTACAGAGGAGTTCCTAGTGGACTCCTGTTGGGACTGGACCAGCCCAGACCATCATCCCTCACCACCGTGCTGACAGCTGGGATCACATGTTGGTGCTGCAGTGCATTCTGGGTAAAGGCCTCTCATTTGCTCCCATTAGTGCAGCTGTTTAGTGGTTTGTTCAGGTGAAACTTAACCAACTTTTGACCGGCTAACGGAGACCTCTAGAGGCTTGAGATAATTTCTCTGAATGTTGACCCCTGGGTGAACCTGCTGGGTTTTTTCTCCAGATGACCAGCAGCAAGTTGATTGTCTGAGATGGTTGCTGATGCGTCTTTGTGTTAACACACACGTGTATGCTCCGGAGCAGCTCCTGCTGGATCTTGAACCTCTGATTCCAGCAGAAGCTGCAGATGGACTCAGCTTTTCCATGTTGTTGTTTAATAAATGATGATGTGGTGGGATTGTGTGTTTTTATTAAATCGGAGTACTTATTGAACTTGATGGAGACCAAATAGTTTTGTTTAAATACATGAAACCCTGAAACTGGAAGGAGGGAGCTTTATCTTCCATCAGTAAAATGACTGAGTTATATTTTTGTTCCTGGGATTCACCTGGACAGGAAGCTGCTGAAGCTCTGCGGGTCTTTGGAGTCCAGCACCACGTTCAGCTCGTTTACAGTCCTCTGATGCTCCTGCAGAAGACAGTTTAACATTCTTATGTGTGTTTATTAATGTGGCAGACACTTTTATCCAAAGCGACGTACAACTGTTAACCCATAGGGCATGCTGTGATCTGTGGGGGAAACCAGAGTACCCGGAGGAAACCCACGCATGCCCCGGCCTGCAACCTTCTTGCTGCAAGGCAACAGTGCTAACTACTGGACATTATATTCGCTGACAGCACTGACTGTCACATGACCCCGGTTTTGGCGCATCTACACTGGCTGCCTACAACTTTCAGGCTGCGCTTCAAGGTTTTATTATTTGCCTGCAAGGCACTAAATGGCCTAGCATCCCCCTGCCTGTCAGAGCTGCTTACACCCTATGTGCCGGTGTGTTCCCTAAAATCAGCTGACCGCTTGCTACTCTGTATTCCCAAAATTGACTATAAAGCAGGAGGAGAGCAGGCTTTTGTGTATGCTGCTCTTTCTCTGTAGAATGCCCTCCCTCTCACCATACGAGAGTCTTCAACGGTCTCGGTCTTCGAGTCTGAAGACTCTTTTATGATTTGGCTTTTGGACAGTGACATCTTATGCTCAGTTTTATTGTTTTCAGCTGTTGCTTTAATCATCAGGACTGTTCTGATTGTTGGTGTGCTAGTTTTATTGTTCTTACAATTCTTACAGGTGATTTTACCTTATTTATTGAATTGTTTAGAATTGTCTGTTCCTGACTTATTTTATAGAAATTTTTTATTCAGTTCCTTCGGACTGTCTGTAAGGTGCTTTATCAGCTGTCATGCTGTGTTTTAAAATGCGCTGTACAAATAAAATGGTATGGTATTTAGCTGTTTACTCACTTTTCCCAACCCCTCCTTCCTGTCCCAAACACCTGAACATACAGACCAATAAAATACTAGAAAAGACTCAAAACTGTGAGCAAAACAATGACACCGCGTAAAAAGGGGTGCAAATAGCTAAAAATGAATACAATTATTTAGATTAAATAGTAAAACCTATAGGCTAAAACTGTTGGTACCCTTTGGTCAATGGGGGAAAACCCCACAATGGTCATTGAAATAACTAGAATCTGACTAAAGTAATAATAATTTAACTACTGAAAGTCAGACATTGCTTTTCAACCATGCCTCAACAGAATTATTAAAAATAAACTCATGGAACAGATGTGGACAAAAATGATGGTGCCGCTAGAAAAGACTGAAAATAATGTGACCAAGGGGACGTGTTCATTCAAGGTGTGTCCTCTAATTTGCATCACAGATGCATAGACCTATTGAAGCATGGCATCACATGACCGCAACCCCCGTCCCCCCAGCCCCAGGCTGGAGGGCAAGAAGCTGGCACCTTCCTGTCGACCACTGTTGGGTTTATCTGTTGGTTCTCAGTAAAAAGATGTAACTAGCAGCAAAATAAAATCTGTCAGCATGGGTAACACACGTAGAACTATTGGCTGCACAAGTAGACAACAGAAGGACAGTACTATAAAATTTTACAGGGGATAAAATATGCAGAAGGCTGTGGTTAACAGCCAGTTCTAGTAGATAAACCACCCACATAGTGACAGACAGTCTCATGACAGATTCAATAAGTACATTTTCTGCCCAAACGTGTCTAGAAACAAACAGGTTATAGCTATCTAATGACTTGTGCTTTTATTATAGAATTGTGCATGACCCCGGGGACGAAGAGCCGGCCGGGGGAGCGGATCCAGCAGAAGCAGCATGTCCGGACACTGTCTGTATCTATGGACCTGGTATGAGCATATTTAAAAGACGAGAAACCAGGCAGCACGTTTTGATAACGACATGGTGAATTGATGACACATTTACAAACTTATAGCCCCTCAAGCACACACACACACACACACACACACACAAACAATAGTCAGCCCCCCCTCTGAACTGAGAAAAGAAATGATAACTAGATATTTAAAATACATTGTTTTTAGGATAAAGCACACATGAGTCTTCTTTTTCTTCTTTAGTTTAACTGGCGGGTGGCATCCAACTTAAGGTGCATTTCCGCCACCTACTGTGTAGGTGTGTGAGTCAGAGTGAGGAATACTAAAAAATAAAATAAAAACACTATATTCTTTTAACTACCCTACTTTTCCTAAGGAATTCCAACACTAAGTTATAAATTATGTTATCCCCATTCAACAAAGTCCCTAAACTCAATTCTCCATGTCTTCTAACTTTTAATTTTTCTTTTAACATTTTTCTATATACCACATATTTACTACAATAACACAAAACATGCTCTACCGTTTGCCTTTCTTTTCCACATTCACATAAACCTGTAGGATGTTTCCCTATTAAATGGAGTGCTGTTTAAACCTGTGTGTCCCATCCTTAACCTCGATATTATTGTTTGTTCCCTATTATTAAGTTCCATAATTTTCATCACACCCACCTTTCCCTGTATATTAAATAAATGCCTTCCCTTTTCTCCCCTCACCCACATTTCCTGCCATTCATTCACCATCTGTTTCCTGATCCATCGCCTTCACTTCTTTCACACTATATGTAATTTCTACCCATGTGTTTTAATTTTGTTGCTTGTTTTGCATAAAAGTCTGCCATTTCATTTCCTCTGTGTGCTGGAACCCACATAAACCTAATTTCTATTTCTAAACTATTCAATCTAAATAAACATTCAAATATTTCTAAAAGAATTTCAGGTCTACTGACTTCATTGACACTAGAGCCGAAAGAGAATCCGTACATATAATACACTTTTTTATTCTATTCTGGCCTCTCCAAAGTAAGCTAAATGAGTCGCTAACAATTCCACCGTAAAAACTGATAAAGTATTAGAAGTTCTGAATTTTATACACTTTTCCAAAACTACTATCCAATAGTACTATAAATACTATCCAATCTATCAGTCCTTTACATTTATTCTGCTCCATTTTAATCTTAATATGATAATCAATATTAAAATGAGGAAAAATCCATTTTGGAGTAACTGAATATAAAAATTTCTTTACAAAAGTTATATCATTCAATTTAAATATTACAGCTAATCTATTTGCTTTCCCAATCACATTCACATACTTTTCATTTCCATTTTCCCAACGTAAAAACATTTCTCTCTGGACCAAATGTTCTTCCTCTGTACATCCCCCGTAGGCGAGTCCAATCATTTAACAAAATCTGCTTAAATCTCAAACATATTGGCATTTCTCCCATTTCCACTTGTAAAGATGCTACTGGTGTTGATTTTATTGCTCCACTACATATTCTTAAAGCCTGATTTTGTATACTCTATCTTTTTTAATAAAGTCAAACTGAACCATACATATTACTACCATAATCTATTACTGACCTAATCGTGGATATGTAAATCTGCTTCAATGCCTGTGCACTAGCACCCCAGTCAGTTCCTTTTAAACATCTCATTATATTAATAACCTTTTTACATCTTTCTTCAATGTTACTGATATTCTCCTTCCAAGTTAATCTAGTAACAAAAATAACTCCCAAATATTTAAAACTCTTTACTTGTTCTAAATTTTCTCCATATAATTTAAGATTAACCACCACATTCCTCTTTCTTTTAAAACCCATACTTTTAGTTTTATCTACGGAAAACGGAAAACCCCAATCATAAGACCAACTTTCCACCTTCCATATTGCTTCTTGCAACTTCTTCTGTAAATGCAGAATATTTCTTCCCCTTTTCCATACGGCTCCATCATCTGCAAAAAGTGCTTTTCCAAAGTCATAACCTATATTTTCAAAAGCATCATTTATCATTATAGAAAAAAGTGCTGGGCTAATTATAATTCCTTGAGGAGTCCCATTCTTGACTAGATACTATTTGATATTATATTCCCCACCTTCACTTGAATATAACTATTAAATAAGAAATTCTTTATCCACTCATATATTCTACCATTATGTACTAATCTATTTAGTTTGATTAATAATCCCTCTTTCCAAACCATATCATATGCTTTTCAAGATCAAAAAATACAACTACTAAACTTTCTTTATTAGATTGTGCTTTTCTAATAATTTTCAAGATAAACCAATGGATCCATTGTTCCCCTACCTTTCCTAAAACCCCTCTGATATTGTGTTGTTAAATTTCTACTTTCAAGAAAATAATTTAGTTTCTCAATAATCATTCTTTCCGTTAGTTTTCCAACATGCGAAGTAAGCACCATTGGTCAATAGTTTTCTGGTCTACTTGAATCTTTTCCTGGTTTCATGATAGGTATAATTACTGCTTCTTTCCAATTTATAGGTATTAGCCCCTCTTCCCAAACTTTATTATACAAACCTAATAACTTAACCTTCATTTTACTCCCCAAGTGTTTACGCATCTCATAAGTAATTTTATCCTTCCCAGGAGAAGTTGTTTTACTCTTCCCCAATGCTTGCTCTAACTCAAACAAAGTAAACGGAACATCGATTAAGGACAGAATATGACCTTGATCACGCTCGACCTCATTTTTCTTTCTAGTTTATTCTCTTCCAATCCTTCTATCCTCTGATAAATTATCACTACTATTAATTTTAACAAATGTTTTAGCTAAGACCTCAGCTTTATCCTCATTTTTAACAGCCAACTCATCTTCCATTTTAAGCACTGGATATCTCCATTCTCTATAAATTCCTTTCATTTCCTGTATCATTCCCCAAACATCACTGTGGTTCTCCCAATTTGATCAGAAAAACCCCTCCAACTCTCCCTTTTAGCACTTTAATAACTCTCCTTGCCTCTGCTTGCAATCTTCTTATAGTTCATTAAATTGTAACAATTATGAGTCTTTTTTAATTGTTTCATACTCTTATTTCTCTCCTTAATTGCTTTTCACAGTGATCATTCCACCAAGGCACATTTTTTCTTTTCATATTCCCTCATCATTATCTGAAAACCAGCATTAATAGCACTATGCTAACGACCAAAGTTACAGCATTTTGGTTTCATCTTGTTTCCACAGTCTTCAAAGTCATGATTTTCTCCACACCCAGGACACCTCTTCCTCCCTTTACAAACCTTAG